TATTATAGATTAGAATTTATTTATATCATAGATTGGAATCTATTTATATTATAGATTGGAATCTATTTATATTATAGATTGGAATCTATTTATATCATAGATTGGAATCTATTTATATTATAGATTGGAATCTATTTATATTATAGATTAGAATTTATTTATATCATAGATTGGAATCTATTTATATTATAGATTGGAATCTATTTATATTATAGATTGGAATCTATTTATATTATAGATTAGAATCTATTTATATTATAGATTGGAATCTATTTATATTATAGATTGGAATCTATTTATATTATAGATTAGAATCTATTTATATCATAGATTGGAATCTATTTATATTATAGATTAGAATCTATTTATATTATAGATTGGAATCTATTTATATTATAGATTGGAATCTATTTATATTATAGATTGGAATCTATTTATATTATAGATTGGAATCTATTTATATTATAGATTGGAATCTATTTATATTATAGATTAGAATCTATTTATATTATAGATTAGAATCTATTTATATTATAGATTAGAATCTATTTATATTATAGATTGGAATCAATTTATATTATAGATTAAGGACCAGCTGGTAGACATCAAGATTTGGACACCCACGACTGAAACTGATGAAATACATACCGCATTCTTTTGATATTTCTGAAATAAAAAAATTCAAATATAAAAAATAAAGAATAGAATTTACAATAATCTATCAAAGATTTCCAGTTCTAAACTTTATATTGACGTTTAGTAACCTCCGAATTCAGAAAATAATTGGAAAACGATACTTAGTGGCTTCTGCTATGTTCGAACAAGATTTCCGAACCCTACAGTCATTCAAGACCGTTCATTAAAGTTTACCCCCTGATCATGAGAAGATGAAAGATTAGAAGGGTGATGAGATAACAGAGCAGTGCATCAACTATAAACTTCTAACTAGTGACAAGCCTATTCATCCTTCTTCCAAATGTAAACAATTGTTTCCAAGGCTAATATTTGTGGGTATATGAAATAATTAGAGTCTACAGGATTTACTGAAGGTTGTTTTGTAACCATCTTATGTTTAGTTTAGACAAGATATTAATTTGTTATAAAGTTATATAGAACGTCTTTATACCAAATAATGTCTTGAAAAACTCCCCAAATCTAACATAGAATTGAGGTACATTTGGAAGAATTGATAAAAATGTTAAAAATAGAAATCTAGATCCCGTGACTTGAGTTACCACGGTTTGTTTTGATCGAAATGCCAGTATATTTCTAAACTATTAATATTCAATCTATAAAAAGCAGACAACTTAACCGTTAACGACAATTTTAATGCACCGTCCGTTTGTAAACCAGGCGGGACCCGCCGAGAATACTTCCGCATCATTGGCTTCTCGGTACCCTTCGTCACATTCGCACAAAGATGTTGTAGAGTTACAGTGAGCCATTCCATGACAAAGATCATTTCCAGTACAACTCTCACCAACTGAAGGCATATCCCTGGTACAAAATCCATCTGGTGTATTCCGGGGAAAGGCGGGGCCACAGTCGCATTTTCCTTCTTTACATAAACTGAATGGAACAGAGCAGGTTATAGTACCGTTACAATCCTCACCAAGTTTCACCCCTGAAAAAATAGAAATCGTCTTAAGCCAGGAAAAATTTACAACAATTTAACTGTGAAAAGGGTTCAGATTTTAGGAAATACAACAACCAGATGAAACAAATTATAAATCATCATGAGGTAAATATTGGCTATCGACTTCAGAAAGAGTCATACAATCTAGCGAGATGTTTCAGAGCAGAATTAATCGCGACGTAGATTTGAGGGAATATATCATAAGAAACTAATGTCGCTAAGATGTAAAACGCTTGTTCTGATTCTGATTAACTTAGACCACTCCTCATTTAAATCTACGTCTTAAATAAACCAGTTCTTACCTACCTCTCAAACACTCAGTATCTTTATTGGCAGGGAAATATCCTGGTTTACAAAAGCATTTGTTACCACTACACGAAAATTTTCTACATTCTGCATTAGTCGGACATACCGTCTCATCAGCACAAGAGTCGAACACACCCACTTTCGCTGAAAATAAATAAATGTTAAGAACATTATCTCATTGTCATGGGTACAGCTCTTGGTTCATAATCAAACTGAAGATGGCACAACGTGGACAATATACAGAATGAGAAAAAGGTTCAATTTGCCGATACAGCTGCCGACCCCTATACTAATACAAGTATGAAATGTGAATAAGATATCTGGACCTCTCACCTCTTACTGTTGTAGTAGATTGGGTTGTTTCGTAGGTTTCAGTGTCGTTGATGTACATCGATGCCGAGACCTCCACGGTTGATGTTCTGTCTATAGATATTGTCGTGGTATCAGCTAATCGCAGGCCAGGTGACTGCTGAACGGACATGTCAGTGAAAGATGCAGTAGGTGACGAGGAGAATGGGACTGAATAATTACCATCTTGTGATGTGTACAAACTCTCTATATTTGAAACATCTTTGATAGATTCTGTAGCTATGATCTCCAGTGGTGATATTGAAGTTGCTAGCATTTGTACTGCTTCCGACATTGGTACTAGCGTATCTGTAGCCATTATTTCTGATTGCGACGCAGACGGTTCTGGCATTGGTACCTTCGTATCTGTAGCCATTATTTCTGATTGCGACACAGATGGTTCCGGCATGGGTACTTGTGTATCTGTCGCCATTATTTCTGGTTGCGACGCAGACGGTTCCAGCATTGGTACTAGCGTATCTGTAGCCATTATTTCTGGTTGCGACACAGATGGTTCCGGCATTGGTACTTGTGGATCTGTAGCCAGTATTTCTGATTGCGACGCTGATGGTTCTGGTATTGGTACTTGCGTATCTGTAGCCATTATTTCTGGTTGCGACACAGATGGTTCCGGCATTGGTACTAGCGTATCTGAAGCCATTATTTCTGGTTGCGACGCAGATGGTTCAGGCATTGGTACTTGCGTATCTGTAGCCATTATTTCTGGTTGCGACGCAGATGGTTCCGGCATTGGTACTAGCGTATCTGAAGCCATTATTTCTGGTTGCGACGCAGATGGTTCCGGCATTGGTACTAGCGTATCTGAAGCCATTATTTCTGGTTGCGACGCAGATGGTTCAGGCATTGGTACTAGCGTATCTGTAGCCATTATTTCTGGTTGCGACGCAGATGGTTCAGGCATTGGTACTTGTGTATCTGTAGCCATTATTTCTGGTTGTGAAGCAGATAATTCGGGCATTGGTACTAGTGTATCTGTAACCATTATTTCTGGTTGCGACGCAGATGGTTCCGGAATTGGTACTAGCGTATCTGTAGCCATTATTTCTGGTTGCGACGCAGATGGTTCCGGAATTGGTATGTCTGTCGTCAATACTGGTGAAATGCTTGCTGTTGTTTGGACTTCAGCACAAATGGCATCTTTCTTTGCATCAGTGGGATCTTAAATTAGAAGCAAAGTTAATCAGGTTTTTAATGTTCTTTGTGTCATTAAAAACACGTGATATTCTGCAAGGTATGCTGAGTTGACAAACGTTTAGACCTATAATGCAGGTATAAAATGGGAATGACGACAAATACCAATTGTAAGGGGTTTTATGAACCGGGGTTCTTGTAAATAAAATATTGTTTTTACTTACTGAGTGTAGCAACAATAGGAACACAGTAACCTTCGGGATTAAAGGCTATCCTTTCCAAAACACTGGCTTCCCGAAACACGGTACTGTCACACTGGCATTTACCATCAGAACATTCAAGATCTGCCTGACAAATGATTTTAACTGATACAGACACACATGATTCATTGATGGTAGCGTATTTGACGGAACCTGGAAAACTGGACACCTGCCGGCACAAAGAGGCGCCCGTTTCTTCGTATCCATAATCACATATACAAGTTCCAGCGTGTTCCTCGTCACTACATCTTGAATGTAACGTTTCACACACAGTATCATCATTACAGGCTTTATCCAGTGGGATTACTGAAATGTTAACAATACGACATCAGTGTGATATTTACTATTCAGTTGTCAGTAAGTAACGATAATCATTTATATTCATCCCTTGATGACATATTGACTGAGAGACTGACTACATATAAAGACTATATTATACTGACTACATATAAAGACTATATTATACTGACTACATATAAAGACTATATTATACTGACTACATATACAGACCGTTTGATACTGACTACATACATACAGACCATATGATACTGACTATATATATACAGACCATATTATACTGACTACATATATACAGACCATATGATACTGACTACATATATACAGACCATATGATACTGACTACATATATACAGACCATATTATACTGACTACATATATACAGACCATATTATACTGACTACATATATACAGACCATATGATACTGACTACATATATACAGATCATATGATACTGACTACATATATACAGATCATATGATACTGACTACATATATACAGACCATTTTATACTGACTACATATATACAGACCATATTATACTGACTACATATATACAGACCATATTATACTGACTACATATATACAGACCATTTTATACTGACTACATATATACAGACCATAGTATACTGACCACATATATACAGACCATATGATACTGACTACATATATACAGACCATATGATACTGACTACATATATACAGACCATATTATACTGACTACATATATACAGACCATATGATACTGACTACATATATACAGACCATATTATACTGACTACATATATACAGACCATATGATACTGACTACATATATAATATACAGACCATATTATACTGACTACATATATACAGACCATAGTATACTGACTACATATATACAGACCATATTATACTGACTACATATATACAGACCATATTGTACTGACTACATATATACAGACCATATTATACTGACTACATATATACAGACCATATTATACTGACTACATATATACAGACCATATGATACTGACTACATATATATTATGATTTGACGATTTTCTTACTCAACATGTTAATAAAGAGGCACCAGAAATGTCGTATTACGCTCTACTTCAGGGCAGGAAGGAGCAGAGGCCAATGAGAAATTAGAAGTGGAGGTTCTTAGTAAAACTGTATCAATCTTACATTTTAAACAATTCTTCCTGTCGTCAGAGGGAGCGAAACCAGCTTCACAGGAACATTTCCTGTCACATCCAACTTGTTGACAGGTAGCGTTACCAGGACAGTTGGTGTCTGATGAACATTCTTCTCCGATATCTTTCAGTCCTAATAAAACAATCAGATAGTGTAAATAACACAATATCTTTTACAGGGTGTTTCCGGAAGAGGGATTATTCAACTGGATTTCAAACTAAATTGAGATTCTGGATTTAGATCTAAAATGTTTATAGGTTTACACGTATATATGTCACTATTACAAAAACTGTTAACAAATTATTTAGTTTAGTGCATGAGTGAAACCCGCAGATGTCTGACTGAAAATTGGAGTAGTAGAAGTCGTCGCTATCATGATTCCCAATAAACACAAAAATATATCAATATCGATAACAAATACCTCCTTCTGGTACAGATAAACAATGCTTCTTGTACAGACTTATATCGCTTCCTGGAACGAGAAAAACATCAGATTATTGGAGTTCACTGTGTGTGGGAAACTTTTACAAACCAACAAACTGAGCTCATAGACAAAACAATGTATCCTTAAAGTATATAGTAATAGTGTAAAGAAATATGTCATAATGTACAATCATTGCCATCATAGAGCAAGTTAGAGACCCACCTAATATATAGCTACTGGACACACATTCACCGTTGTTGGGAAAAGCACTGAGATCGGCAGGACTAGCTTGACGGTAATCTGTGGTGCATTTACACACTCCGTCACATATCATACTATGTCCTTCTGTACATAAGATTTTAGAACTGCAACTTTCATTTAGCAAGGCCCAGCCAACGTTGATTGCTATCGCTCGTTTTTTACATCGTTTATTGTCTACTGCTGGAATAAACCCTGCCTGGCACTCGCATTTACCATTTGAACAGCGAGTATTGGGCAGTCGACATATTGTGTCTGGTTTACCACATATCTCTCCTAAGTCAATAACTGAAATGAAATGTTTTGATATTTTTAATATAAGTGTAGTGTAATAATTATAATATTCATTCAACCCGAATATAACAAGTAGGTTTGTCGCTGTATACGATACATAGTCGAATTGTTCTGTACAATGGGTACATGTCAGAGTGTCGACACTGAAAATTTCATAATATTCTTTCAAAAGTAAAACTTAGAGCTAGGATTGTACATGTCTCTTGTATAGTCCGACACAAAGTAAGGATTGTACAAGAGATTCTCACCTTTTAAACATTTTGTGTATTCGTCATTAGGCATATAGGTCTCTGGACACAAACACTGAGTACCTAAACAACCAGCCGTGAGACATCTCGCTACCCCGGGACAATCATCGTCACTGTTACATCCTTTTTCATACAGGTTTAATCCTGGGTGGTGACAAAATATACAAACATCAAAATTAATCCTGGGTGGTTACAAAATATACAAACATCAATATTGATAGCTGTTTACAAACAGGTGAAATTAAATTTGTCGATTAATGAAGTGTGATCTTTTTCAGTATTATTCAAGATTGGAGATTTTTATATCAGTGAAATTAAGAATAGGATGGTAGAAGACCACATGTTTTTCATTTCTTTTAAGAAACATTGTTTTGCTAATTACCAAACAAGAATGAGAAATTTTCTTCATGCCGATAATTAGATGATATATCACTTTATTACTAGTATAAGTCTTTTTGGGGTATTTTGCCATTGAAACCAAATTCTATTGAACTAACAGAAACTTGATCTATTAAAAATTTATAACGAATATAAACTAATCCAGAAGTTACAATATCTGCGTTGGTTTAAAGTATGTCATTCATTTTTTTTTTATTGTAAAATTAATAGTGGTTTTAATCTTCTATACCAAGCCTGTGTTTTATCTTAATTTTGATCGGAATCAATAAATCAGGAGAATAAATAAAAAAAGAATACTTACCATGAGAAAAGTATATTGAGAGAGAAAATATAAACAACGATAATGCCTTCATCTAAAAAAATTAATAGAGAACAAGATGGGTATAACACAAAGAGTTCTTTTAGACCTGCGTTTTTTCTTTAGGACTGAAGATTTCTGGGCACATTATTCAAAGGTGGGTGATCATGATTTTAAATTTGCACAAAAATTCGAGTAATTCACATGATATCCAAAAATATTAAAGTAGAAAAGCTATAAGAAATCCCTAAAAAAAAAACTCGTCAATATAAAAAGGAAGAAAAAGTAAGTTGGTCAATGTTAAAAATACAACATACCTTGGTCTCTTAGTTTCTAATTTCTGAACAACTCCCTTTTCTTATCACATCATGTCAAATAATAGGAAAATGATATCCACGAAATATATATTTTGGTTTCACCCCAAATCTTCAGTCCCTTTCATTGGTCAAAATATTCTCGATCATCACGTAGTTTTCATTCATGATTTCAAAATTTGATTCAAAACGAGTTCGGATCGTGACAGCGTCTTTTGGTCAGAGACAAAATTCGTTGAATATTATTAACATCTTGATGTGGTCACATTTCATTGTACAGGACAATCATACCTATAATACTGTCTCCTCAACATACAAACTACCATGCGCAGTATTATCACCATAAAACCCCTGTCGTTATTTTGACGATTGAGAAGCTGAAATTAGAGATGATCTGACAATCCATATTTTGATTCTATAAAATATTTGTGCTTCGTGTTTTTCGCTTTCGAAATATTATCAAGGATGTAAATGAAAAGCAAATTGCATTTCGTTTTACACATCGTTATTATTTGTGAAATCAACGAGAATTCAAGCACCTAACTTGACAAAAAA